ATCATATAATTTGGGAGCTATTCAATTATTATAAGAGTGGATAAATTATTCAAGTTCATGTACACTTATTTAATTTCAATATTATTCATTTAATCTATGATATAACGTCATTTGTCTAAATGTATATAAATTATTCTTTTTCTATATTCATTGATTCAAATTAATTAAATTCCATGTCGATTCATGTACACCCCCTTTATTTAAATATATAATTTATTTTTTTATATCTATTAATTCAAATTAATTAAATTTCATGTTGGTTCACTTACACCTTTTTTTTTTTAAAATGTATATATATTATTTTTTTTTATATTCATTGATTCAAATTAATTAAATTTCATATTCATAAATTAATTCGATTGTTCTCATACAATTCAATTATTGATTTGCGTGTATGTTTAATAATTAATATTCAATTAGATATATATTGAAAAAAGAAAAATTAAGGTACTATTGAAATAATTAAGTTATAGTAAGGTTAAAATCGTCCAGAAAATGATTATTTGATGCGATATTTAATATATTATTATTATTATTATAGTTATTATTATAATTATTAATTTATATATATATATACACACAAGGAGCATACTCCAATCTACTCCTAATTTCTTCATCCGTTGTTAATTCTTCCCTCTCCTGCATTTGATAATAATGGCTTCATCTTCTTTAGCTTTCTCTTCTTCGCAATTACAATTTTCTTTGCAGAGGTCACAAAAGGTAACTGCTTCAAAACAATTAAAACCAGCACCCCGACCAATCACAGCCTCTGTCTCCAAAAAGCCATCCTTTTCTACGCCATCACCTCCTCACCCGGCATCGACGGTTGGGCCACCAAAACCGAGCAAGCTTCCGATCCGAAAAATTCCGGGGGACTATGGGCTCCCCTTGTTCGGACCATGGAAAGACAGACAAGACTACTTTTACAACCAAGGCAGGGACGAGTATTTCAAGTCCCGAATTCAAAAATACCAGTCTACAGTCTTTAAGACCAATATGCCACCCGGTCCTTTAATTTCCTTCAACTCGAAAGTCACTGTTTTGCTTGACGGCAAGAGTTTTCCGGTCCTTTTTGACACTGACAAAGTCGAAAAGAAGGATGTTTTCACCGGTACATACATGCCCTCCACTGAACTTACCGGTGGTTATAGAATCCTCTCCTATTTGGATCCGTCGGAACCGAACCACGCCAAGCTGAAGAAGATCATGTTCTTTCTACTGTCTCTCAGGCGCGATCAGGTAATCCCGGAGTTTCACAGCAGCTACACAGAACTGTTTGATGATTTAGAAAAAGAATTAGCCACTAAAGGGAAAGCAAGTTTTGGTGAGGCCAATGATCAAGCCGCATTTACATTCTTGGCTCGATCTTTATACGGAGCTAACCCATTTGACACCAAGCTTGGGTCCGATGGACCCAAGATTGTTAGCAAGTGGGTGCTCTTTCAACTGCATCCAATTCTAATTCTTGGTCTACCAAGACCGCTTGAAGATGGCATTTTTCACTCAATTTCTCTCCCGCCGTTCTTGATAAAGAAAGACTACAAAAGATTGTATGATTTCTTTTACCAGAATTCAACTCCTGTTCTTGATGAAGCTGAAAAACTTGGTCTATCACGAGAAGAGGCTTGTCACAATCTAATCTTCGCCACTTGCTTCAACTCCTTTGGGGGGATGAAAATTTTCTTTCCCAACATGCTTAAATGGGTTGGTCGAGCTGGGGCCAAGCTCCATACAGAGTTGGCACAAGAAATCCGGTCGGTCATTCAATCAACCGGTGGCAAAGTCACCATGGCTGCCATGGAACGCATGCCGTTGATGAAGTCGGTAGTATACGAATCCCTGCGAATTGAGCCGCCGGTGCCTCTCCAGTTCGCGAGAGCCAAACGCGACTTCGTGATTGAATCCCACGACGCAGCTTTTCAAATTAAGGAGGGAGAAATGCTCTTCGGCTTCCAACCATTTGCGACCAAGGATCCTATGATTTTCGATCGGGCCGACGAGTTTGTGCCGGAAAGGTTTATCGGCGATGAAGGTGAAAAACTGTTGAGACACGTTCTCTGGTCTAACGGACCGGAAACTGAGAGTCCCACCGTGAACGACAAGCAGTGTGCCGGAAAAGATTTCGTGGTACTGATTTCGAGGCTGATGCTGGTGGAGCTGTTCCTCCGCTACGACTCCATTGATATTGAAGTCGGCGCGTCGCCGTTAGGAGCCAAAGTTACTGTAACGTCGTTAAAGAAAGCCAGTTTCTAGACTGCGGTGCCGTTTTATTATATTTTAAGTTTGCCGGTGAGTAGCTTTTTAATTAAAAGTTTGCATGGTCCCACTTTTTTTCTTTATTTTTTGGATTATCCAATGATCATGGGGTTTGGTGGGTGAAAATTCAGTCTTTGTACATAGTACTACACCGGAAACGAACAATTGAAAACCTCCACGGCTCCACCTTTCATTGTAAGTTATGTGATATATTCATCTCGAGTCTTAGCCACCGTTTGATCTACGTTATTATTTTATTAAAATAAAAAATATGACCGTTATCCATCACATCAATATTTAAATTCAAATTTTATATCTCTTATGTGAACCTCAATAACGGTTATATTTTTCATTCTCATTCTACAATAATTTAGCTCAAACATGACCTTAGTCCATGTTAATTAGAATTTTAATTAATTGACAACAAGTAATGTCGACTCCCGACCGTCACACCCAATCATGAGGGGCTAGACCCACCGCAGACCACAAACAAAAGCCTTTACTAAGAAAGGTGGCCTNTTATTATTCGGGATTGGATTCAATCGAATAGATTTGAATTCGTTTTTATAACGGCTAGACGAACGCGTTTCTCTAGAAAATTAGGGTTACGTTTTAGCGACACGTTTTTCGAGAAAATTAATTTATATAATTTAAAAGTTCGCGATCGCTACATCTTACCTACCCTTTACAGTCACCATTGCTACCACGGCTGTGGTGTTGGTGGACAGTGACGGATCCAGTAATATAGATGAGTTAGGACAGTCGTTGACTGTTGACTATTGATTGTCGACAATCAACGACGGTCGATGGTAAAACAAAGTAAATTTGCGTAAATCATATCTAATTTTAATTCAGAAAGCTCCAGTGTCAAACACAAACTAGTGCATATGCTGATGATGTTGACATATAATGAATTATACAATCAAAGTAAAATGATGGCAAGCGTGACTTCTTTAAACAAATCAAATGGGGTGTTGAATTATGTTTTTATAAATACTCAAATCTCATCCAAAAATATCTGGCTTTTGTGTTAGATCATAGACATAGATAGTGGGCTTTTGGTTTTGGGTGAAATAAAGTGAAGAAGTTGAATATAATTGTACAAAAACTATGTTGTCTTCTTCATAATTTTTTTTTCTTTTTGTTCTGATTCATTTGCCTTTTCTTAACCTCTGCAAGGTTCTCAACTTGACCATGGCCAAATCATATGAAATTAAGAGTGTGTCAATTCTCAACATAATTTTTTTTTCAATTTTAACTGTACTTATAAGCCCACAAGGAAGACTTTTATGGACGATAGATTGAAGAATTTTTAATATTAAACATAAATCGCCGATTAAACGTAAATTAAACTTAATAATCAAGTTTCAATTTCCGATTTCCAACACCAATTTATCATTTTTCACAAATCACAAATTCCCCAATTTATCATGTATCATAGTCAACATATATCACATATTCACAACTATGAAGCTAGAGATCTATGAGTATATAGTGATATCCAACAAAAGGAACTATCCATTTCCAAGCTACAATTTAGAGAATTATTTTAAGTTACTTGGACTGAATAAGTTTGAGGATAAGTTCCATGAGCAGCGCTTTAGGGCGCCGATGTAGGTACTTGTTGATGAGTATAATTTGTTCCATAACTACCGTTTACACCATTTGTAACCTAAAGAACCCAAAACAAAAGAACATAGTTTTGCATTGGCAAGTCAGACTAATAATAAGAATACATCCATTCATAATTCATAACCTCAGTGTCTGTTAGCCAATACACATGTAAAGACTGTGATGCCAGCCCAGCCCAATAGACGATGATGAAATGGCTTTCAGCCCAATACATTCAACTGAAATGAAGGCCCAGATCACCCAGCCCAATACATCCATTCATAATGCATAACCTCAATGTCTGTTAGTCAATACACGTGTAAAGGTTGTCATGCCAGCCCAGCCCAATAGGCGATGATGAAATGGCTTTGAGCCCAATTGCTATTGCCCAATAAATTCAATTGAAATGAAAACCCAGATCACCCAGCCCAATACTTGGTCCGGTAATAAGCGTGTTTGGCTATTGCAACTTTGGTTGTATTGCTTGTTCTAGAAGCGTGAGTTTCTTTGGACCGTTGGATTAACTATTGCCCAGTCTCGATGCATTGATATTTTGGTACTCGAATGGTTTTCATTCATTCGATATTTTTCCATTCTGTTTGAGGGTTTTCTAGAGTCTTCGTGCTATCTCTTTTCATCTTCTTCTTCTGCTGTGAGGATCTTTTGAATTTGTTTCTTGAGTGTGTTTTCTGTGTGAAATATGATGAAAAGAAACTCTGTTGTTGTTAGTAACGTTGAGCTCTTTTGGTCCATAGGAGAAGCTGCACCGTTTACTGTGAATCGTGAAGATTCTGGGTGAATATGGGTTTCATAGTATTGATATAGACAAGTACAATATTCTGAGCCTTCGATCTGAGAAACCTTGGTGTTCAGTGGTTCTTTGGAGATAAACTTCTGTAATAGGGCTTCAACTATTATTCGATATGTATTTTTTAGTTTGCGTTTTGTATAACAACACAAGGTATTGCCCTACCTCAAATCATAATACAACTAGAGAAATCAAACCCAAAACATACTTGAACTGTATCCCCTGCTATCATACAACACACACATAACCAGCCCAATCGAAGAAAAAATTCATAAATCATAAACCTCAACTGCAGGCTTATAGTCATAAAACATAAATCATAAATCATTTCCAATGAATATAACATAAAAAATGAACTAAAAGAAAAAAAGAAAAAAAAAAGAAAGAAAGAGATAGAGGCACACATAGTGGCAGCCGCGACAGGTAGTGGCAGAGGCTCAGCGTCGACTGCAGATAGAGTTTTTTTTTTTTGATAAATTCGTATGGATACAAAGTAGCAACTTAATTGGAATTCATATTAGGAGCCTGCATGCCTTAATAATGGCCTAATTAAAAAAAGATGAAATTACGTGAAACCCGGTCTTTAGTTTGAGGTTTTAAAAGTTCAGGTTTTCACTTTATTTTTTCATTTTTCAAGTTTTTATTATTTTAATAAATTAAAACCCTAAATCTATCCACCCTAAACTAATCCCTTTCTCTACACTCTCCACTCTTACACCTCTCACCACTGCCCGCCCCCGCCTCCTCACACCACCACCACCCGCCGCTCGTCGCATCCTCCCCTTCCTCATCCCTCCCTGCTGGCGTACCGCAGTGAAGCAGCGCTCGTGCACAATGCCCGGCTGCAGTGGTGTCCCATCTTCACCGCCTGCTCTCCATCTCTGCCGACGATGTCGCCGCGCTTCGCACGGTGCAGATCCGCCGTTTAAGTGATGATGCATATCATTTTCTCCTTTTTAGTTCTGTTTGCAATTACCAATATCTGTTATCAAGGATGTTGATACTGATTATCAATCTGAATGAAGAAGTTTCTTTTGCATCAAGGACTCCAGGACCGTGTTGACTCAGTGCCGCAGCTCGCAAGGCCTCTCCGGTCGCCATGACCAGATGTGCTTTCGGATTAGCTCGAATAAATTCCTCTCTACCCGAGCTCTCAGGAAAAGGTACTGATATTTTTTCCCTATACAGTATGACAGTCTGCAGATATAGTTCCATTTCCTAATTTGGTGGGTTGATTTTCCTCTAGAGAAGATATTGTGGCTGCTGTTGGGAAGATCGGTCTGGTTTTGGAAAATGTCTCGGATGTGTGGTTGTGGTTGTGGTGGTGGTGGTGGTGGTAGATCTGTGACGATATGTTTTGGGCGGTGGTAGTGGATCTGTGGTGGCGATCGTGGTGGTGATGGTGATCTGTGTGGTGGTGATCGTTCTTTGTTATTGTTGTGGCGCAGTCAACGACGGTGATGGATTTTTTTTTTTTTTTTTGTCTGTGACCTAGCTATTAAACTGTGACTTTAAAATTGGTAATTTGTAACTAAAAAAAGAATCCGTGATCTATAATTTTTTTGATCTGTGACCTCGAAATAATCAGTGATTTATAAAATTTTTGAT